AACTCTAACATCTCATCTGAGGCTCTTTCTATCTAAACTTTCAATACAGAGAATATTATTCCCCCAAACCAGGATTTTTAGGTGGATTTAAACTAAGGTTATCAGAAAATGAAAAGATTTATATTTCAGCACAAACATTTACAAAATGCAATGAAGGCTGATAGCTTCAGTAATGATAATTCCATTTGTGTAGCAAGGCCATGAGTTCAGTGTTAAACATGACAAGGAAAAAAGAATCATATCACTTGTTATAGAAATGCATGCAACAGAGAAAGAGCTTTATGACAATAGCAATATAAAACATTGTAGTATGTACAAAAGTTGAATAAATAATACAACAGTTTATGTGAAATATAAGAAAAGGAATAATACCTAAATGTTTAAAGAAATAAACTTTACAAACAAATTTCATTACTAAAAATGTTAAAATTAGTAATAAAATTTTGTTTTGAAAATAGTTCAGGTGTGACATGTTAGAATTAATTTATTCTTGATTTTTACAAATCTTCTGCATTTATTATGTAACCAACTGAATACATACATACATAGCTTAATATTTTAGAAGTTTTCTAATTGCTTTGTTGCTTAATTTTAAATTTACAAGGAAAATATATAATGTAAAAAACAGGAAACTTCACTGTGTTGTCATTTTGTGTAATACATTCAAATGATCTTGGGCACACTGCATATCTATTACATAAATTCCACTGTACCATATAGACCTGGTATATATATCTTTAAATGCTTAATTTCCACACAGTTTCTAGGCAAATAATTATGTTTTGGTCATAACTAAGATGTCCAGAAATACACAATATTTCAACACAATTTTGCAAAACATTTTTGAAAGCTTTTAGAAAAATTGGGCATACACACACTTTACACACCCTTAACCACAGAAAATCATCCAATTTGACCATAAAAGTAGCCTGGTCACTAGTTAAACCTATTCCTCACTAAACTGATGGCACAACTGTTCCTTTATAGTCCCCGGTCTGAACAGTAATGAGGTGGACAAAAAGTAAAGGATGAAATGTTAAAAAGTAATCTCCAAGTAAAGAAAATAAGGAAGTAAACAGCAATGTACAATGCAGGTGACATTTACCAGGGATAAATTCAGATGAATTAGGAGATCAAAAGTAAACTGAGAAGTTGGTTAGAAAGCAAGTTTTCTAGTTAAAAATAAAAAAAGCATGTGTGAGCATGCTATACAAATTATAGTGTAATAATTTTTAGATGAATTTAAGGCAAAAGGATAGTTTAAATGAAAAAATCAGCATTACTAAATGGGAAAAACCAAATTGCTATAACAGGCAATATTTCGCCAATGTTAACCTGGGTTCAACGGGCAACAAAAGAAGGCGTTGATGTGAGAAAGAATAATTAAAAAAAATTTTTTTATAAATAGTCTT